AACTGCCTCTGATTTTTGGGGGAGGCATGGAACAAGGAATAGAGTTTGTCAAAAAAGATCTGGAAATGATTGAGCCCTGAGACCTCCTTGACCACATCCCCAACTGCCAGCTCTAGACGATGATTGGAGCAGTGCCACACAAACAGGCTTGGGAATTTACTACACAACTGGGTAGCAACGCCTGTTCTCTTCCCTACTGAAGCCCCATCACATGCAAAAGAAACGAAACACTGACCTAAAAAGTCCTCGTTAAAATCTCTTCCAAGACACTCCATTAACGCCTTTGTGATGTCATCAGCCGTTGTTCCATCCAACTCGATCAGCTCCCAAAAAAACGTTTCGGGCTCAGCATCAGCTAATGCTGAGCGTAGACACACAACAAGCACCGTTTTACCACTAATAGTGGTAGATTCATCGACCAAAACAGAGTTTTCTTTGGTTTTCTGTAATGTCTTTTGCCATTTTTTTCTTCAGCTCATGAGCTATGTGGTCGATGATTTCGCCACAGGTTTTATTGGAGTGCAAAACCCTGCCCACGTTCAGCCCATTCAGTTTCTGTACATTCAAATCAATTGGCATGTCTGTGAATGGCCGGCTATGTTTGCCAATTTTATATGCCGTTCGAAAAACTCTGATAGTGGTGTCTAATTCAGATTTATGCATAGACTGCACTTGATGTTGAATAGTTTCACATGAAGCAGATGTAAGGATGTCAGCAGCTTTGGCTTGTGATTCTTTATGTTCTTTGATTTTTTTTCTCAGGCTAGCTTGTTGTTTGCCCTTGTCAACACCGAAATGAGACACTGCACACTCACCCCATTCAGTTGACAGTTTCAGTCCTTGTCCAGTGTGTATTCCCAAAGATTTGACATCTCTGCATATCCGACATCCTAGCTTCTTATCTTTAAGAAGGAGCCATGCATTGGTCTTGCAAAAATATTGCACCTTGTCCGTTGTCCAGCAGTCAGGTGCATCGCTTTGCCCGGTGTTGGTGGTGGCAGTTGCGCCAGCAGCAGCTAACGTTAGAGGCTCTGGAGGAGGCGGCGGAGCTAGTGCTAATGCTAATGCACTAGAACTTGGAGCAGGAGGATCAACCAAAGAAAGCTCCCCATCAGACACAATTTCCAACACAGGCACAGCATTCTCTGTATTTGAAGTTTCTTCCGGCGACAACCGCTGTCTTTTTGCACTTTTATTAATCCACGCTAACATTTTAGAAATGCTAATTTGTGACGTGACTTGCTTTCTTTCTCTCTGGGGCGTGCCTGCTCTGTTCTATCACTCTACATAGCCACCCACTGGGTGGGAGTTGCACTGCATAAACACAACACACGTGCATCTAGGTATGTAAATTGTAAAGCATTAAAACATGGTTTTACTAACAGTTTTCCGTATGTTGTTACTTCGGCATTATTATTATTATTATTTTGAAACGTGTATTACTATTAAATCACGGTCAAATAGGTTAATTTTGACATAGTCGTTTCCACCACAGTATTTACATGGAGAAGATAAGCCCCGCCCCCTCTCCAGCACGTTCTGTTTGAATGACAGGAGTAAACAGCTGACAGCCGCTGTGAAACTCCAGCGGTTAGAGCGATGAGAATGTCCGTTCGGCACCTCATGACGCATCTACTGAGTACCGGGCGGCTGTATATATATATATGGATGTATAATAAGAACGGCGGGAGAGTGTTGAGTACTGGCACGGTGCATGAGTACCGGAGTACCGCCAGCATGCCGGTACTGAGCAAGAAGTGCCGGTACTCCATGGGTCAGAACCAGAAGTGCCGGTACTGCGTAGCCTACCGGTGAGTACCGGCCCAATTCCAGCACTGGCTGTAACACTGTATCTCTGAGTTGCTTCATATTCCGTTAGAATAGATTGCAAACATCCATATAAACTCTCAATCATGACAAAATATTGTCCATGGATTGGCTCATTACCAGTTCGGGATTCCATGAGAAGTTCTGATAATGTCCTTGTGTGATGATCAAGCTCACGATAAAGCCTCCCCTGTTCAAAATCATCTCCCACGCGTTGTCTTCTAATACTATCAATACAGTGTAGAGTTCTTCTCAAAACGTTTACAATATCTTCCTCATTACACTTTGCAATAAATACAAAATTCTGAATATGAAAAAGGAGAAAAATAGTTTTAAAAAGCATGTTTGTTGAGGTCACAAACGGTCAGATTATGAGCACTTGTTTTGGATAATTACTTTCTGGTTTCGCTGGGAGGCAGATGTACTTCCTGTTGTAAAGGTCAGTGTTGTTAAGCTGCAATAAGCTAACAAGCTAACTACACCCAATTTGAGCCAGAACCTTTCCTTTTTTGTTTGACCATTTATTGAAGTGATTGATATTTCAGGCTGAGAGGATAATGGCCTGTTAAATATGGTTGAATAAGCTGTGTACTTCTAGCCGACAGTTATGTTAGCATTAGTTCGTTAACAGTAAGTAAATATAAGACTAACCTATGTACTCCAGCTAGCCGGCTACATCTGTTGCTCCCGCTCTGCACGTTTTACGTTGCTTAAGGTAAGTGAACATGAAACTATTCAGCAAAACTTTCAATAATAATCTAAGGTATTTATTGAGTTTTGGGATATTACTTGCATACAAATCTATAAATGCCTTAAGGTTTCTAAAACATACAATATGTGGTAAATTCAACAGTGGACCCAGCAAAGATTCACATTTTTGCATGATTTTTGTTATTGATGTGTTGCTGTTACTTAATTATACTTTTAATAAATTCAAGTCAAGCTTAGTTACATGTGATGGTAGCTATATGCTCTTACCTGTGTGCCTCCTCCGCAACCAGACTGTATTCAAACTCTTAAGTACCAGTTCTAACTACTTTAAACAATTAAAAAGACAAAATCAACTACATTTATTGATATACCAATCTTTATTTTTGGGGCCTCTTCTTCTTTTAAATTAAACTTTCAGACATGAGATATAGAAATACAGTAATAATTTTGTCTATTTACAAAAGAATGAGCCATTCCTTACAGTTAACTTCATATTTCTTATTGTCTAAAGCATTTATGACACACATGTCCCCCTCATATTCACAGTGTGGATCAATTGAGACAGCGTGCAGAGACTTTGGGAGAAACCTCAGCATGACGGATGTCCTGTCTGTGGGTTTGGCTGGAGAGGACTGAGGTGGAGAGGTCTTTCTCTGGGAGGAGGACGTGGCCTGATGGAGGAGGACCAGGCCTGATGAAGAAACCACCTAACTGCATCTGTGAGCCCATACTGGGCACAGCTGTCACAAACAAATGATGGTCCTGTTTGACTTTGTGTCCACAATAAAAGTGTAGTTTCTTAGTGAATGTCCTGTATTGGTCTTTAATCTGAAATCAGCTTTTCATTTTCTTCTTGCCCCTCTGAGAAAACGGTGAGGCAGTTGTGTCCTTCAGGTATGTCCTTTCCTAACAGAAATGACAAGAAACATATGACATTATTGCAGAGCAAGTGTGTTATTTATGAAAGGTTTGTTTATTTAGCGGCTGTAGAAATAATGTGTTTTTTTAATTTTAATGTGTTTTTTTAATTCATCACTTTGTACTACAAAGATAATCAGATTATGAATGAACAGTCTGCAGTTAATCAACATTAAAATATCTTATTAAATAATATTCAACTGCTCGGTTGTCTCACTGCAAGAACCACTTTTACCACGTCTTTTACAGACAATATGTAGAGACAAATGGTAGCAATTCTCACAATGTAAAATAATAATTGCCTTAAATACATTGAAATGTGAAAGCTGATTATAGTTGTTACTTTATCTATTTAAACCAGAACGTTTCTCGATTCTTTGTACAGTATGAAAGGAGTCTTTGTACCTTTGAGTCCATGCTGAAGTTCACTGATGTTAGGAATAGGTCTGTCACTCGTGGTCAGCATCCTCTGGTCTGTCTGCATCACCTTGAAACTTTAAACAAACAGATGTATATGTAAAGTAACAATGTGTTGGTCACAGACTTGTTTTTACATGCAAATGTCATGTGATAATATTTTTGTTATCCTTAAAAAAAGTGCTGGATATCAAAGCCCTTACTGTATCTTATCAGTTGGATTGTGTATTATTGTATAGTTGGGGTCCTTTTTATTTTAGAATCGTTTTTCATGAGACAGTCAATTTAAATATTTGTCCTATGCCATATTCACATTCATTTGTAACACACACGTAAGGGTAAAAGACACACATCTTCAACAAATGTAATGCAATGAATAAGCTTCATTGTCACAGAAGCACACATAACGTCATATCTAATATTTAAACAAATCATTTCCTTGTCCCTAAAGCATTGACTGAGCTATTTTTCGTCCTCAAATGCAGGCATTAAGATACATGTTCACGTTCTGCTGCCACAATAAGTCGGTTTCTCCAGTGTAATGATAATAAAATGCTAAGTAAGTATTGGTAATAATATTAATAAAAACAACAACGTTTGGGTTCGTTCGTTTAATATGATGAACGTTAACCAGTAAGCTTCAATAATCAACTCCAGCTCAACAAACCATATTGCAATATCTACGTTAACGTTATTTCTGGAACCAACTGGAAATGTGAGATTCATATTTTTCAGATACACAGATCTTATAGTGAGGTTAATCTATGGGTTAATCTCATACCGTACTCTGCTCTTCAACACTAATGTGACGCTAGCTGTCTGCATCGTCGAGCATAGCTATTTTAAATTAACAATAACAATGCATACAGTTACCTAACTAGCAAACTAACTAATGTACAAGCATGACCTTATTTTACCAACCTCACCGAGAAGCCTTATGTTTTACAGTATAATCCTTCTTAATGTTTTACACTTCTCTATTACAGTCAGGGGCGGACTGGGACTAAAATTCAGCCCTGGAATATGACCCAGTCCGGTCACATGTCATGTCAACGGGGGGGGGGGGGGGGGGGTGGAGATCAGAGATCAGAGATCAGAGATCAGATAAAATGATACAGTACTATTAGTTATTATAAATCAGCTGTTTATTATGCGGTTCAACGGATAATTCTCCCCTAAAGAGAATAGGGAGGACACTCCTCAGATGTCTTAACACATGGGACATCATATAACAGTACACACACACAAATCAGCTGTTTATTAGGCTGCAGTTTAAGGGATAATTCTCACCTAAAAGAAATAAACAAGATTGTCTGAGGCGGTTTGTAAACCTAATGTTGGGGAATCAGCAGTTTCTTTAGTAAGTTGCTTTTTTCTGCAACTCTGTCGATGACCAAGTCATTGTCGAGGGACATGAGGATGTATTTTTCTGTTGACATAAGCATGAATGCTTCCAGGTGTTCTTGTGACTGTGTGCTCCTTATTCGGCTTTTGATGTGCTTGAGTACAGAGAAACTTCTCTCACAAGCTACCTGTGTCACAGGCAGAGTGAGAAGAAACTTGTATCCTAAACCAAGGAGCTGATAGGCATCTGTGAAGAGGTTGTAGCGTTTCAGAAGTTGGTAGCAACATATTGAGCATTCTTTACAAGAGTTGCACTGTTTGTTTAAAACCTCTGTCTCTTCTTCCTCACAACCAGAGCAAATTCGTACTCTGTACTCTTCAAGTGCAGACATTTTAAGCCGTGGCTACTGGGCTGCCAGACACTTCAACTCAGACTGCAAATTTGCAGCAGTTGCCCTGCTGTCAAACCTAAGCAAGCATTTGCTTAGATCTTGAAATGTAGAGTCAGGCAGAACTTCTGCTGAACACACTTGGGGAAAGTTTCTTGGATCAAGGACAGCCAAGTCAGCATACAGAGTGCCGTGGGTCATGAAGCGTCGTTTGATACTGTCTGTGACAGTATCCAGGACCTGGTTATGGACCTCTACTTCATAAGCCCTGTTTGTGTGACCCACACAAAGTGTGTGATCACAATTGTATGTTTATATTTAATATCATTTTATATTACCTGTTTAACAATGGACAGCAGGGGGCAGTAGATGGCAGAGTAACACTGCCGTAAAGGGGTTTGTTATTATTTACGCGTCTACCGTAAAATGTCTGACGTGATGACGGAGCTGTCGTTAGCTTGCCATTCTGGCAAGATCCGCCAAACGAGCAGTAAAAGGAATTCTCTGCTCATAATTTCTCGTGTTTTACAGGTCAGTAATGTGTACAGATTGTCACAAATGTTATAAATCACAATGTCTTAAGTTTGAAGTGGTGTTTAGATGTTGTTTATTATGTTTAATGCCGTGTAGAAGACCACCTCGTGGTGGCTGTGTGTGTATGTGTAATGGCGGTCGCTAGTGATACAAGTGAATTGTTTATAGCTAAGAAGTGTTTTAGGTGTGTTTTGTATGGTCTATGGGTGCTATGGTCAGTCATAATTTAATTATTATAAATGCGTGTTGCTTGATGCTAATGCTAGCATATATTAGACCAATGCTAATACTTTGCCTGAAAAGGTAATTAACAGTGTTTGAATACAGCACCAATATCTGTTTTGAAGCAGTACATGCTTATTTGGAGTCATGATGTTAATGACACTTGGTTATACACAAATGTGTTTATTTTTGAATACTTCAAGCATACAAGTATATTTTGAAGACATGAACATGTCTTTATATTGAGAGCAGTAAAGGGCAAGGACAATTGTGTTTTGTGCCAATTGTTAATCAATTCTGGCAAGATCCGCCAAACGAGCAGTAAAAGGAATTCTCTGCTCATAATTTCTCGTGTTTTACAGGAAATACTATCTGTCATCGCGCCCTGCATAGCGGGGCCTGTTACAGATTTTGGGGGCTCGTCCGGGGTGAGCATAGTTTGAGACGACCACATGCTGATCCAGTGATATTGGACCTAAAGGACCGGACTGACGACGTGTTGCCGGAGTGAAGGTGCTTCCAGTTAGTGACTCAAGAGGTAGAGAGACCAGGTTGAAGGGGATCTACGCCTAGGAGTGCAGAACTGCTTGCCACAGTTGCCTACAACACACAGGATGGCTGACAACGAGAGGAAGAGACTAAGCTGGTCCATCAAGAAAAGACTTCATCAGCTAACAGCAGATGAAGCGTATGAAGTTGCCACACACCTCGATCCAGTGGAAGGACTTGACGCATCAAAGCTAAACAGGGACGACGAGGAGGGCTGTGTTGAGTATATTGCTGCGAATATGAACAGTATGACTCTATTAAACCTAGAAGATGAGGGAATGTCAATGTTGTTGTGTCTACAAGATACTGTTGATTTGATTATTGCAAACCGTAGCAGTGGTACCGTGTGTTCCAAAGAGGGTGAAATTGATACTTCTGTTAAGTCACCTCTGATGTTATCTGCTACTGTTAACGCTAACCAACAACTTGAGCCATTAGACAATCCAACTGAGACTGGCATTCATGACGCAGACATACAGAAACTGTTAAGGGGCTTAGAGGAGGTGCAAAACAAACTTCAACACAGTGTCACCACACCTAGTTCAGACACACCGCAACCTCACTCTAGCCAACCCAGTAAGCAGCATACACCTAACTCACCACATACATCTACAGAAGGACTCTCTAATCCCACCCGAGAGAGCATGATTTCCCTTAAAGATCTTTCATTTCTGCATAGAAGGGAGTTTAAGATTCATGGAGGGCAGATAACTGACACTTCATCAGACATTAGCTTTAACAGCTTATGTAAACAGATTGAGGAAGGCTGCAGAGAACAACACACTGATGACGAGATCATTAGAGGGGTGTCACGCATAATAAAAGGTGGAAACTTTAAAGACATGCTGACAAACAAGGAAGATCTTACAGTCACCGAGCTGAAGAGTTTCCTGCAGTCCCACCTTGGCGAGAAGAGCAGCACAGAGGTCTTCCAGGAATTGATGTGTGCTAGACAGCATGAAAATGAAGCTCCACAGCAATTCCTATACCGCATGATAGGACTGAAACAAAAAATAATGTTCACCTCCAGGCAGGAAAATGCACTTATTAAGTATGATGCGTCTACACTGCAGGGTGTGTTTTTGAATGCAGTCTATCAAGGCATGGGAGAGAGACATGAGGATGTCAGACGGGAGCTGAAACCTCTGCTTGCTGACCCCACTGTGTCTGATGAAGCTCTGTTAAGGCAGGTTATCAAGACTACGATGGAAGAAAGTGAAAGAAAGCGCAGACTGGGACGCAGTTCCAACCGCAAGTTAACTCAAGCACACAGCATACTCGCTGAACCTGAAGAGATACTCAGCAGTGTGGGAGAGACTAAAAGTAAGGATAATGTCATCCAGAGATTGAGTGCTCAGGTTGAGGCTTTAACACAGGCAATGGAAACACTGAAACAGCTATCAACAACAACCCAGGTGCCTGAGGGGCTACATCAAACCACTCACCGGTGTTGCTCTGACAAAACCAGACCAGAGAAGAAGACCAGGAGACCGTATGGGTGCCCACAATGCATAGCTCAGGCTCAACCAAACTGTAGCCACTGCTTTTTCTGTGGGGAGGAGGGTCATCGTGCTATAGGCTGCTTGAAAAAAACAGAAGCAGGCGGGAAACGGGCGCCGGTCAGGGCAATGGGACGACCACTGACCGACCCAAAGGAAAAGTCCCACCCCCAGGAGGTTGTAGCAGCAAGACAAAGCACTGGTGATACACCTATCAACACGCAGAAAAATAACGAACAACACCCAATCAAAAAGATAGCTCCGCTAATTGGTCGAAAGTCGCTATTGAGATGTAGCATGAACGGTTACGCCATAACCGCTCTTTTAGACTCTGGGGCCAATGTGAGCATAATAGACAATGCTTGGAAAGACAGATACTTACCTGGACAAGATATTAGACCCCTCAGTGAACTCATGGAGGATGATCTCTACGTGACGGCTGTCACAGGAGATGCAGTACCTTATGAAGGATGGATTGAAGTGGTAGTAAACCTGCAGGGAAACGATGATCCAGACTTATCTATTCGAGTGCCTTTCCTAGTGAGTCGAATAAAAATAGACAGACCGATAGTTGGTTTTAATGTCATCCAGGAACTCTTTAGGAGTCATGAAAGTAGACCCAAAGTGATATCTATCCTTGTCAACTTGCTTACGGGTGCTTTGGAGATGGACAGTGCAATGGCAGAAGCTATGGTGAGTTTCATAAAGACTGAGCAAAAACAGAAACAACAGAATGCTGCAGTAAAGATAGGCAGGAAAGAAGTCACTATTTATCCTGGCCAGGTAGCTTATATTAAGTGCAGGGTACCAGTAGATATTAGTGAATCTGACTCACTTGTGCTTTTCGAACCCAATCTAGAAGCTACACCCCTGGCACAGCTGAGTGTTGGAGAAGGACTAATGGCGATCCAACAGACAGAGAGACCTTTCGTAAAGGTGCCTGTGTCAAACCATTCCAGAAGTGCTGTGACTCTGCCCAGCGGTACTGTTCTAGGCAACATCGAAACCATTGACAGAGTGATAGAGACAGACAACCAAAGCAGCAAGGACAATCAAGCCCAGGCAAATATAGCCAGTTCTTCCACATCACCACACTCTAACAGTGACAAACCCACTTCTGCATTGTGGCACCCACCTGTGGATGTCAGCCACCTGAGTGATGAGCAACAGATGAAGGTGGAACAGATGTTACACGAGGAATCGGCAGCCTTTGCTAAAGATGATGGGGACATAGGTTGCATTCCCAACCTGCAAATGTCCATCAACTTAACGGACAACATCCCAGTTCAGCGCACATACAGTGCAGTACTCAAGCCCCTTTATAAAGAGGTTAAAGAGTACATCCAAGACCTGCTTGTAAAAGGGTGGATAGTTAAGTCCAAATCTCCGTACTCAGCACCTGTTGTCTGCGTCAGGAAAAAGGATGGGTCCCTAAGGTTATGCATCGATTATAGAATGTTAAACCAGAAAACAGTACCAGACCGTCACCCATTGCCTCGTATCCAGGAACTCATCGACACCCTAAAAGGCCAAAGCTGGTTCAGCATTTTAGACCAAGGCAAGGCCTACCACCAAGGCTACATTGCTGAAGGATCCAGACACATGACGGCGTTCATCACCCCTTGGGGGCTGTATGAGTGGGTGAGGATACCTTTTGGACTCTCCAACGCCCCTGCTGCTTTTCAGCGCAGCATGGAGGAAATGTTGGACTCTCTGCGTGACAACTGCTGTATCCCTTACCTCGATGACATCCTCTGCTACTCCGACTCCTTCACTAGCCATGTTGAGGGAGTACGTCAAGTCCTGAGAGCCTTGCAGTCCCATGGTGTCAAGCTTCGACCAACAAAGTGTGAGCTGTTCCAGAAAGAGGTCAGGTATGTTGGGAGGCTGGTCTCTGCAGACGGTGTCAGGATTGACCCAAAAGACATTGATGCCATCATGTCCCTGAAAGAGAAGAGGCCAAGCACAGTTGGAGAAGTGCGGAAGTTACTGGGTTTCCTAAGCTACTATAGAGCCTATATTCAAAACTTCTCAAGCATTGCAAAACCAGTTTATGATCTGTTAAAAATTAAAGGAAACTCTACCGTGACACAGGGGAAACATAAGGTGGGAAAAGGAGCTCAGATGCCCTCAAGGACACCTGTCCTGTGGACTGATGATCACCAAAGGATTCTTGAACAGCTGATTGACACGCTTTCACACCCACCTGTGTTGGCCTATCCGGATTTCGAACTGCCATTTGTGCTCCACACTGACGCCTCTCAGCAGGGACTCGGCGCTGTGTTGTATCAACGACAGGATGGAAAAATGAGTCATCGCCTATGGTTCAAGAACTCTGTCTCCCGCTGAGAAGAATTACAACATGCACTCAGGGAAACTGGAGTTTCTTGCTCTTAAGTGGGCGATATGTGTGAAATTTAGGGATTACCTGTTCTATGCACCCCATTTCACAGTATACACAGACAATAATCCCCTCACATACATGATGAGTACTGCCAAGCTGAATGCTGTGGGCCACCGATGGGTAGGTGAGCTAGCAGACTTTAGGTTTGATGTCAAATACAGGCCAGGAAGAGTGAACATAGACGCAGATACGCTCTCTCGTCTCCCTCTTGACATTGACACCTACGTTAGAGAGTGTACTGAGGAACTCACAAGAGAAACCATCCAAACCACATGGGATGGTTGTGAGTCTGCAAAGAGGCAGGATGTTGCTTATGTTGCTGCATTGGACCTGGCTTCATGCTCAGAGTCACCTGTGAATGTGTCACCCCTTACCATTGACCACAGTGAGCTAGTCAATGCCCAAAGGGAGGACCATGCAATCGGTGAGCTTATCAAACTTAAAGAGGCCAAGGCAGTATTGACCAGTGAGGACAAGAAGAGAGCCAGTGGTACACTCAGAAAGCTCATGCACGAGTGGGGAAAACTGCACATGGAAAATCAACTGTTGTACCGGACGGCCAGTCAGCGGCAGCAGCTCGTCTTACCATCACGATACTACCCCCTGGTACTAAAGCATCTCCATGACGACATGGGACATGTTGGGGCTGAGAGGGTCATCCACCTGGCTCGAGACCGTTTCTACTGGCCTTTCATGAAAAAGGACATTGAAACCTATGTAACCAGAAAGTGTTCCTGTATCAAACAAAAGAAACCTGTGACACACGTCAGAGCACCAATGGGCAGCATCACTTCATCTGCACCACTTGAGCTTGTGTCTATAGACTATATGCACCTGGAAACTAGCAAAGGGGGCTACGAGTACATTTTAGTAGTTATTGACCATTTTACCAGATTTGCTCAAGTCTACGCAACAAAAAATAAATCTGGCAGAACAGCTGCTGAAAAAATCTATAATGACTTTATTCCAAGATTCGGCTACCCGGCCAGGCTACACCACGACCAAGGCAGAGAGTTCGAAAATGACCTGTTCAAGACCCTGAGGCATCTGGCTGGAGTTGCTCATTCAAGGACAACCCCATACCACCCCCAAGGAAACCCAGCTGAGAGGTTCAATAGAACACTGCTCCAAATGTTGAGGACCCTGGGAGAAAAAGAAAAGGGCAACTGGAAAGAACACTTATCCCTGGTTGTACATGCATACAACTGCACCAGGCATGAGGCAACAGGCTTCTCACCCCACTACCTCATGTTTGGACGGCACCCGTGTCTCCCAGTAGATTTAATGTTTGGCCTGTCAGCCAAAGGTCAGACTGAAACAACACAGGGCTATGCTAAGAAATGGTCTCTGAGAATGAAAGAGGCTTACCGGATTGCATCTGAAAACAGTCAACACTCCAGTGCAAGAAACAATAAGTACTATGACTGTCACATCAAGGGAGTTGTGCTCCAACCTGGTGATAGAGTCCTAGTCCGCAACATGAGTGAGAGAGGTGGACCTGGAAAATTGAGGTCCTACTGGGAACAAACTGTGTATGTCGTCAAAGAACAAGTTGGTGAAATTCCTGTGTACAAAGTGTGCCCCGAGACAGGTGGTGATAAGATCCGTACCCTCCATCGAAATCTCCTACACGTTGTCAATGACCTACCTGTAAACTTGCCTGAACTAACAGGAAATCCGCTACCACCTAGAGGAAAAAGCAAGAGTCATCATGTTGAGAAACAACGACAGAGAGAGACATCACAAAGCAGTGACTCAGAAAACTCTGATGATGAGGCACCTAGAGTACGATACTGGCTAAGAGTACCTCCACAAGCTGGACTTCACTCACAGAATGTTGAACCTAGCTCTGGATCTCAGCGAAACACAGATGGTCCGAAAAGGGTACCTGAACCACATAGATATAGAGTGCCATCGAGATATCATACACCAGAACAACATGGAGTTGTTACACCTGAGAGAGAAACCAGACAAGAACAACCAGAAGAACGGACTGATGAGGAAGACCTGCCTGTGGATCCTGAAGCACCGGAAGAGCATGAGTATGTACAAGTACCCTATGGCTATGACCGACCTGTGACACCTCAGGATGAGCCAGTGAGGAAATCCACACGGGACAGGAGACCTCCTCAAACGCTGACATATGACTCCCTTGGGCAGCCATCCTCCAGATCATGTGGGTCTACAGACCCAGCAAGACTCTATACTGTACAAGCCATGCCATTCTGGGGAATGCAGCCTGTTCCTATGCCACATTACACTACACACCAGACACTGCCTTACACTACACACCAGACACTGCCTTACACTGTAATTCTACCATACATACATGCATATTGAGAAGGAAAGATTGTTACACCCACTCTCATCCATATTGTACAGTATTCACCTATACATTTAAAGAAGTGCCCTTATGAGAGTGTGTATAAGTGTTTTAAGTTCAAAGAGAAGGGGCACAAGTTAAGAGGTTGATGGTTAATGTCGGGAGCCATTTTTCTTTGTCGGGGAGTGTGTGACCCACACAAAGTGTGTGATCACAATTGTATGTTTATATTTAATATCATTTTATATTACCTGTTTAACAATGGACAGCAGGGGGCAGTAGATGGCAGAGTAACACTGCCGTAAAGGGGTTTGTTATTATTTACGCGTCTACCGTAAAATGTCTGACGTGATGACGGAGCTGTCGTTAGCTTGCCATTCTGGCAAGATCCGCCAAACGAGCAGTAAAAGGAATTCTCTGCTCATAATTTCTCGTGTTTTACAAGTCAGTAATGTGTACAGATTGTCACAAATGTTATAAATCACAATGTCTTAAGTTTGAAGTGGTGTTTAGATGTTGTTTATTATGTTTAATGCCATGTAGAAGACCACCTCGTGGTGGCTGTGTGTGTATGTGTAATGGCGGTCGCTAGTGATACAAGTGAATTGTTTATAGCTAAGAAGTGTTAGGTGTGTTTTGTATGGTCTATGGGTGCTATGGTCAGTCATAATTTAATTATTATAAATGCGTGTTGCTTGATGCTAATGCTAGCATATATTAGACCAATGCTAATACTTTGCCTGAAAAGGTAATTAACAGTGTTTGAATACAGCACCAATATCTGTTTTGAAGCAGTACATGCTTATTTGGAGTCATGATGTTAATGACACTTGGTTATACACAAATGTGTTTATTTTTGAATACTTCAAGCATACAAGTATATTTTGAAGACATGAACATGTCTTTATATTGAGAGCAGTAAAGGGCAAGGACAATTGTGTTTTGTGCCAATTGTTAATAAATTCTGGCAAGATCCGCCAAACGAGCAGTAAAAGGAATTCTCTGCTCATAATTTCTCGTGTTTTACAGGAAATACTATCTGTCATCGCGCCCTGCATAGCGGGGCCTGTTGCATTTGCATCTGTCAATCTCTCATCACTTGCCATTTCGCCAGCCATCATCTTCCTTTTCCTGTTCCTCTTCAGTGGAAGTGTTGTTTCCAACTCAAGCTCACAGTCCTCTTCTGCCTCCAGTTTTGCATTTGCCCACTCAACAAAAGTATCAGCAGCTGTCTTCACTGTCATGAAATCTCTTGTCATGTTCATCAGTGCATGTTGAGTGTCCTGAACCATCCTGTGAGCAGAGAGGATATCTAGTCCACATGTCTGCAAGTATTTTGAAAGAGGTGTTGTCACTTCAAAAATCCGAAGGAAAAGCTGGGCAGTCAACACTGTCTCGTACCTCAGGAGCGCCTCTAGGAATCCTCTTGCTCTGACACGCACTGCAGTTTTCAAATTGGCCTGACTTTGAAATTCACTTAGTGTCATGAAGACATCAATGTACAGAGACTGGTCTGGCTTTCCAAATGAGCCAAAGATCTTCTTCAAGGCTACATCTTTAGCCCACCACCGTGTCTCTCCAATTGGGGAGAGGCGTCTGTGTCGAGTGTCCTGGCTTTTATGCTCCCACACATTCATTCTTTTGTATGACTCGCGAATGAACACAGCAATGTCATTCATGAGGGAGAAAAGGGACCCACTAGCTATGGACACTTCAGTTGTATCAGACAGAACAAGGTTTAGCACATGTGCATAGCACCAAACATGTACATGGTTTGGGACTTTGGATGACAGGAGTGCGGAGAAGCCTCGATATTGACCCTGCATGTTGGATGCACCATCTGTAGCATTACTGATGCAGTTGCTGATATCCAAATCAAAACGATCCATTACATCTGTCAGCATCTGGACAAAATATTGGCCAGTGGATGCTTCACATTTGACCACTGCAAGAAGCCTTTCCTGAACAGTGTCTGTGACGTATCTCAGAATCACAGAACACTGCTCATGGGACGTAATGTCCTGGGTTGTATCTATTTGTACAGAAAACATACCGCTTTCAGCAACCTCTTTTGCAATGGTCTCCTGAATTAGCCTCTGCACTGTGGAAATGACGTTGTTTACAGTTGTTTTGGATAGGAATGTTACAGCAGAACCCCGACCTTTAGCCTGTGACTGGTGCATCTTCTTACTTTTTTCTGTGCACTCAGTGATATGTTCTTTCAGACACACATCATATTTTCCAAGAAGAATGATGAGCTCTAGAAAATTCCCATGGTCAATGTTGTCATCATCTAGAGTGTATGCTGCCTCATATTCCTTCCCTCTGTAGCCAAGTCCTCTCTTTCCTATGAACTTTACTACATCTACCACACGTTCCAACACCTGCCGTTTCTTCTTCACTTGATCTCTGTGGGCCACTACTTGTGATCCATGTAGTAGGCTGGCTATGTCTGATTTGGATACCCTCAAAAAGTAGGCCTCCGCACACATTCTATGCATGATGGTCCTTTCGTGTTCCTCTACTCTCTGACTGATATGGTTCCAGTCCTGCATGCCACTTACAAAGGGATTGTTTTCAGATGGCTTGGCAAATGCTAAACATACTCCACAATACAATGTGTGATTCTCTTCACAGTATGTGAGCCATTTTCTATCTGTGCCGTTCATGCGTTTAAACAGTCTTTGTACTGTCAAATATTTTGTTTTGGTCTGAGGGTGATAGGAAAAAAAACTATTGAGACTGTGATTGTCGGAATTTGGGCGTTGGAAATACCTCAGGCTTGAGCTGCCGTGTGAGTGGCTGTCATCCTCAGTCCTTGTTCCATCCTCAACCTATAGACAATTATAAATTAATGATAAAAATAATGTTAATTATTTTTATAATACTATAGGCTACTACTTGAATTAATACTTAAATGTTGACAAGTAATACACTTTTGTTTAATCTATACTTTTTTTTAATATAGTCTATTACACCTACTCTCAGTTGTATTTATTTTATTGCTTGCATGAGCAACACACCACACACTAACTGGAAACACTAGGTTGAATATACTTGTCTTCTCTATAGTACTTACCACCTCTTGCTCTTGCCCTGCACTTGCATGTGCCAGTTGAGCTGGTTCTTCCACCAGCTCAACTCTCTGTCCCTCATGAACGCAGGAGGCTGGCTGTATATATGAAATCGCGCCCTCATCATTCTCTTCATCATGCACTTGTTCTAAGCTGCTGCTGGTGATGATAGTGCTTGTAGTTGTAGCAGCGGCGCTGCTGCCAAAAAGGTCTGTCAATTTGCGACATTTATTAGCATTACCTGCGAGTGACTTCACCTTTTTTTCTCTTGCCTTCTCGGCCCTACCTTTTTCTTTTCTTTTTCTTTTATTTGTATCCATTTTTTATCATTCTCCCTGTCTGCCGCGGCGTCTGTGTGGCCGGTCTTTTTTCTTCTTCGTGTGTGATTTTTTGACAGATAAGAAACACACAACTGCATTAGCGGCCGCTGTCGCCCTCTGTCGGCCGGAAGCGCAACTTAAATTATGACGTTAAACAAAAAAAATTAAAGGGCCGGCCGTCAACGGCCCTTGTCCACCGGCCGTTCTGTGGTTTTCCAGATTCTACAGATGGCCAGTCCGCCCCTGGGTGAGGTCCACCACCTGCCCACACCCTCTGTTAAATTGTGGAGGGGCCTGAAAGGACAGCTAAATGCACAGCAGTCCATTTTCACCAGGCCCAACAACAAGAGCAAGGCTGCTACCATAGCATCTTATCGCATCAGTCACGTTCTTGAGAAACACATGAAGTCTTTCAAAGACGGCGAAGTTGTGAAAGAAGCATTCCTGGAGGCTGCCGACGCGCTTTTGGGGGACAGTAAAAATAACAGTAGCATTTCAACAGGTTTTTGATATAATAAAAACTCAAGTTAGATACCGTTATTAATCAGCTGTAAGTTTTAGTTTGTTTGAACTTATTCATTATAATTATTGTACAAAATGGTATAAGAATGCAAACTTAAATTGATTATAGTCTATTATCAATTCAGGTTAGGAAACTAGTGTTGCTTGCATCCTATTTTAAAAGGCATTTCTTTTTATACTCTACTAAAATGCAACAAAAAAAGGGTTTGATTCTATTAATTTTGTCTTTTTTATTGCACTTTGGCAGCAGATTCCTGTGTAGCTTCAGATCTGAGTTGTCTTATTAGTAAGCCTAATTTATACTTTTGTAGCAACACTATTTTTATATAATGGCAAAGAAAGGGTTCAGAGTATTTTCTTTTTTTCCTGTGTTACATGTGTGTAGATTAGAAAGAGGTAAGATAAAGGATCTGCAGTATTTTATGAAGTATTAATCGTACAAAGGTCAGTTTTATACCAGTAGAAGTGTGTATTTACCTGGTAGTAGGCTGTCCGTAATGGCTACGCCTCTCTATTTGGACTGGTAGAACTCGGCAGACTGGCAACTTTAAAAGTAGCTCTCGGTTCAAAAAAGGTCGGGCACCCCTGAGATATACCTACAATCAACCTATAAAAATATAATTAAGCATTGATAAACGTTAAGATGTTTATAGGAAGTGTTTAATATTCATTCAGTTAGGGTTAACCAATCAGAGCAGACTGGGCTCTGGTTTCAGACAGAGGGTGAAAAAAGTTGCTGCAGCACAAGCAGTATGAGAAAAATAAACTGCTTCGAACCTTAAAGCCATATCATGTCATAGTAGAGGCACAAAATAAAAATATGAACCTGCAAATAAACATTATAGGGCCCCTTTAAGAGAAACTCGCTTTTAGTAGATAAAAGTATAAACAGCCTCTTACTGTCGCACATTCATCATTCTGCGCAGTGAAGGTCACATTAAATTACAGCAGCAAAAAGGAAAGCACAGTTTGGTTTAAAGAAAAGTATGTCCATCCAATCGGATAATGTTGAATTAAGAGAGAAATCTGCCTCTTCTCTTCCTAAACTTAAATAGTCTAAGTTTGAATCGGGGAACCAATCCAAACCATGTTTACTCACTTAATCAAAACAAACAGCCACCACTTTTGGAGGGAACGCTGGTTGACTCCAACAAAAGGAACAACTCCAGTGGAAACGGTTTGGTTACACAGCTAAAGGTCAGATACTGTATACAACAGGGCAGAGTAACGTGCAGTGTGAGAACCCTCTCTTGCAGGAAGAAGCAACAATTGAGGAAAGAAAAGCCAAAGATCACATGATCATCGCTGTCCTATGAATACATGCATGCCCTGCTGTCAGCTTAATGCTCTTTGATCAGATAGTGGATCTTTAATTTTGGCAGCGATCTTTTTACCATAAAATGTAGTGTTTTCCTCCAATTCCTCCTAGTTTGAAACACTTAATACAACAAACAATTGTCTTATAATCAACTGGGGATGTTTCGAGGCGATATTTAATGGTTATTAAAAATAATCTGTTTTTGTGCAAAATGTATAGAATGTTACAATACATCTTTAAAGCAACATTATGTAAGTGTTTTATCACAAGAAAATATATTCTAGGTCACTAGTCGACCAATGTTAACTGAGTGAATTGCACTCGTTGTCGTATAAAAATACTGTATTATGTTGCTACTCTGAACTAGAAGATCTCCATTTCAGTAGAACTAACATAAAATAAATTCCTATCTCTATTTTGAAGGTTTTTTACAGCTGCCTTTGTCCTCGTCTTTTGAGATATATAGTTTTCAATGGACAGCAACAATGAAGGTTTTCACAGTATGTTATCATTATGCCATGAATGGATCATGTAATCATTTTAAAGCTTTATCACCAAACCGGACCATCTACTCTTACCAAGAACTGTATCCATGACTCAAATCTTTCCGTATTTTACTCATGGGATGGAAATAATCACAATATTTTGAGCCAAACATCTCAGACCAACACGATTTAGACACAACTGAGCAGTTCCTCTTTATGCTTTGAAAAAAAATAATCAAGAGAAGCATCAGCTGACAGGAAACTCAGCACCCAGTGAACTCACCTTTTAAGTTTTTCGGGTTGTTTTGCTTGGTGCGCGGCATCTTTTCCGCCCTCAGTTCACAGGTGCATCATGGGGAATGTTGGACCTTGAGAGGAGCTGACTCCTATTCCACAGTGTGGGTACATCTACAGAAAACACACACATATATATTGAGTCAGAATCAGCTAAACATGAGCTCCACAGATCAATAAGGCACTTTGCTTGGCCTTGTAGAGTCCTCCGCTCTCACTAGGCAGCCGAAGACGAAGCTGATGGAGTTTATTCCATCAACAGGTGCCCCAAACACGGCTGGACCTTTCATTTCAGGCCTCTGAGCCGCTGTGTAATAATGTGCAGTGCGGTTCAAGCTACTGTCAGTGGGAGGAGGTGTGAATAAGTTCCCCTCATATCAATATAACCTCTGCAGCAGCTGCCATCTGCCACTCTGATCTCACACAAAAGGCAGAGAGGTGGAGGATCGCCTGTTTATTGGGGAAATGTCTGATTGACATGGCAGCAGCTGATACCCGCTCCTCACGTTGATGAATGTCAGCGCGGATGACGAATGATGCACACAATCAGGTCCTGTGTGTGCAGGTGATGAGCGCTCGGGGCAGCTGGACGGCCACACAGAGGTCACTATCTGTGGACGTTAGATCACCGCAGAAAGTCACAACATCAAGAGACTGACGGGTGTTGTTTTCATTCTGATGCCCTTTCACAAAATGTAAGATCAAAAGCTTGATATAGGTTGAATGGTGATTCTGTGTTGTGGTGGTTAAATGTTACCAAACCCAGCAGAAGGTTTTGTATGCCCCACGATGCACAGACAATCTCTCCTCTGGATAGACACAATCATAACATCATGAATAAAAGACCTCATTAATCATATTTAAAAAGCTCTCCCTTTCCCTTGCATCACCTCCAACATGTCCCCATGTAACACCTCCACCTCCTGCAGGAGCAATGCACGTTGCAGAGCAGCAGTGGTCCAGGAATCAGACTTTGTTTCCCTCCACACCGATATTACATAACACTTACTACAACTGGATTATGGTTTTTTGCTCCATACAGTTACATGTGGCGCTGGCGCAATGACATCATCTCACTGTGAATTTTCGGTTATATAGAGTCGTGTGTGTGTGTGTGTGTGTGTGTGTGTGTGTGCGTGCCAGTGTGTGTTCGTGTGTGCGTGTTTGTGCAGATATTTGGGGAAACACCCTGATACTGATACGAGAAGGGAAAAAACAAAACATATGGTGTTTCAAGCGCTGCGCTGTAACGACTGTAACGCTATGTCTTTAACACAGGCGGGTTGGAATGCACTAACAGGTGACTAATGATGATTTCCGTTCACACCTGAGGATCTACAGGAGGTGTGTTATGTAAATAACGCAGAGTTATTGGCGATGTTATAATTAATACAATTATCATTAAAAAACGTAATTTTAAAGTGATGCACAGATTTTTTTTTTGTGCAAGGGTCGCCTACTTCACCAATCAAACGGAGCAGGATGAAAGGGAATAATTGGGATGTAAGTGCATGCAATGAAGTCAGCAAAAACAATGCGTGGGAATAGCTTGTTTTGTGCCTGTTGCAACACGTGAACGCCCTGTAAGAGAGGGAGGAGCCAGGGAAAAACCCTCGCCTTCTAGCTGCAACAGCGCTCGAATAGGACACTTCCCCCTTATATCCAACAAAACCCCGCCGCGGCCAAAAACCTCACACACACAAGCCCATGTATCACAACACTGGCCATGGCAGACTAGGAACAGTCCTGTTCATCTTGTCTCCTGCTTTACAGTCAACCAGACCCTCACAGTGCACTTCATCCCAACAGCTATCAGCAAGGTGAGTGGTGTTTAAATGGATTGTAGCAGTATCAAAACAATTTGAGTTGTTTCATTATAACCACTCATGCATCCCTCTGTGAGTTCATCTGATCAGAGTCTGAGTGTTTAATGTATTTACTGAATTGTGTTAGTTCCTGAGGTGACGCCTTGAATTTCTGTAGCTCTTAGCTGCTTTTTGCAAATGTGTTCTAAATTAATTGTATGTGTGTTTCTTCGGTCCTTCCGTAGGACACAATAAAATATTAGTTTTATAGATCTAGAAACCACATTTTATGAATGTCGAGCCCAGTGCACTTTGAATTGAAATATGTGACACCTTCCTTTATGTCTTACACAGCACTCCGACTGGTATTTACACACTATTTATTAGGGATGCACCGAATATTCGGCCACCGAAAATTATCGGCCGAAAATGGTTAAAAAGGCCCTTTCGGCTTTCGGCCGAAAGGGTTTTAGCGCCGAAAACATATCACCGAATGTCAGAACAGGCTTACGTTGGTAACCTAACGTGTTGT